TATATATATACATATATAATTAATGACTTATATATAAAATTATTTAGCATCAAGAATTTTAAATACTTAATTAAACTAAATACACTATACAAACCAAATACTTCCAAGAAGCTAGCCTCTCCCTCAACGTGCCCAAACAACACTAAATTATCATCAACTTTGATAATATCATCCTCCTTATCTGAGTCTTCTTCATCGTTTGTTATAAGAGGATCTTTGCCACTTGCATCAAAAGTAGCTAAATTATTAATGTGACAATACATATTGCCAGCTAAAATAAAAATAAAAAATCAAATATACTTTTATTATATTCTGAATATTTAACAATTTTTCTCTTACATTCATTATCATAGGCTTTAAAGTTATATTCATCAATGCCAGCAGTCGAAGATTCTCCTTCCTTTTCTATATTAGATTGTGTTTTGGATCCCTCTTCATTAGAATCATCATCATTACTGTCATTGCTATAAAAAAATCTTATAATTAATTTTTTAATATTTATTGTATGTCCTATTCTTGTGAGAAAATAGATGCACAATTAAGAGTTATAGTTTCAATAGTCTCTAATAATCATCAAAGTCAGAATATATTTTTTAGCAAGAGATAATCTGAAGTTGATTACAAACGACAAGATTCAAATTTAAAAATTGAATTCTCGCTGGAGAAGATAGGATATTGAAGATGTTATAAAAGAGATGAGACAAAGTTGTGAGTTCTAAAAAGCAAATTATTATAATGCAAAATATTATGCATTATTAATGGAAATAATTTGCATTATTTTACGTACTTCAAAGTGGCTTGCGTCTCTTTTATAATCTTCTCGAGTTCGTCGGGTCTTAATTCAACCTACAAATCGCAGAAAATATGTTTTTGACAAATGACATAATCTATATATATAAAACATTAAAATGACAACTTTTTCCGGAACAGCCGCGGCGACGCCTTTTTTCACCCATGTAGTACAAGATATAACATTCGCTTCCATCTTTATTAGAAATGTCAAGTTATCAATATTGTTCGACAATAAAACAAAATTTTCACAAAGTTTTTGCAACCATTGGATTGTCGAGGTTAAGTTTTCAGCCCACACGTGTTTTTTTAGCAGTAGTGCCAACCCCGATCACTTATAAACATATATTCCCTATATTTCCTACTTTTTAAAAATAGTTATTTCAAATAAATATACTCTTTTTTTTATTCATAAAATTATGCTAATAAATACGATTTATTGAATATAAAATATAACACACATATATGTAACAATTATATTTCTTTAAAGATCAAATGTACAAATCAAATTGACATAAAAAAAACCGTTTATACAAAACGTTTATAAAAAAATAGTCTCGTTTTTTTTAACTGAACTCGCATCGTTTTCGCTTTTGTTTCCAATGTACAGAGAAAAAGATGAACTGTGCAAGAAATTC